GCCTTTCAAATATCTTAGTATCCTCTTGACAACAGTCAAGTGAGACTCTTTAGGATTAGCCTGAAAGCGAGCACAAAGCCCTACACTGAAAACAATCTGTGTCACGACCCCAATCCCGGTCGTGATGGCGCCCAACACTGATGCTAGGCAAGCCCGACCAATTAAATACTCTCAATCCAAATACGTAATCCGTTAACAAATAATACGATTAAGATGGCAAATGTCAAGGTTCCAATCCGAATCTAAATAAAATAGTACGAAAAATAATAACGAATATTCCAAACATTTCCCAATAGATCTGGAGTCACGAGTCTAGAGCCTCTAGGTGTAACAGAGTAATATATCCATAGTAATAAAGAAGTCTAGGATATGGAAAGATAAATAAAATAAAGGGGAGGAGTTGGGTCCTGCGGACGTCAGGCAGCTACCTCAACAACTCCTGAAAATAAACTTCACGAAAACAGCAAACAGCTCCACTAAGTCTCCGGAGCACCTGAATCTGCACACATGGTGCAGGGAGTAAAGTGAGTAATTCCAACTCAGTGAGTAATAAACATATATAATGGCTGAAAGTAAGAAATTCCGAAATATCACAATATAAAGCTATAATCAGCGATTCAGCACATAAAACAGTGGAACAACAACAATACCAAGACAAGTAAGACAAACAGGTATAAATGCATGAATGCAATGCAATGCACATGACCGCTGCGGCGCGCAGCCCGATCCATTTGGGTACCCGCGCTCACTGTGGGGGTTCAGACTCCGGAGGGGCTCCTACTGCCCAAGCGCAATATCATCGTAACATTCGCTGCGGCGTGCAGCCCGATCCACACTCAGTATATATATGTATATATATATATATATATATATATATATATATATATATATATATATATATATATGCATNGACGAACGACCGACGTCCGGGCGACGAGTACTAAATTAGTTACTATTTTTTAGTTTACTAATTATTAGGAATTATAGAGCTAAGTGTATAAACCTTTATTTGTTTACTAATCATTTCGAGGCAGTGTCTAGCTCAGGACTGATATCATGAAATATGCTAAGCATCATAGGAAACAGTGATAAGGAACCCTAGAAGGATGCACATGATAGGCACAAACGACCCCAAACAAAATTCATAAAAATTCAAGTAGGAGGATTACCAAACAATTTCTAGTCAGGAACACGGTACGAACATCAATTGGAACGGACTAGGTCACAATCCCCAGTCACAATCGACCCCGCACTCGTCATAGAGTACGTGTCTCGCCTCAATATAGCGTCACAATGTGATATACCGGGGTTTCAAACCCTCAGGTCATCATCTACATCTATTACTCACCTCAAGCCGGCCACTAGTGTAGCTCGCTATGCCTTTGCCTTTCGAATCAACCTCTTCGCACGCCGAATCTGATTAAAACCACAACTACATTATAATAGGCTAAAGAAACATAACCCAATCGAAAAGACTCGAAAAATACCAAAATTCACTAAGTTGGCAAAACCCGAGCCCCGGGACCACTTCTCGAAAAATTACGAGATTCACATCACCGGATTCATCGTCTCGCCACGAATCCATACATATAAAATTCACCAAAATCGGAGTCCATTTGACCCCTCAAATCATCAATTTAAGCTCTCTTAAGTTTCAAGCCCTAACCTCCATTTTTGGCATTTAATCCCTTAAATTTCAGTGTTCAATCCATGATTTTTCACTATATAAACATAATCCGAGTCCAATAGTTCATACCCGATGAAGTCCCTTCGAATTCTCTTCAAAATAGCCCAAGAAACCGCCTAAGCCGAAGTCCAAAATATTTTTCTTCTCTTTCAAAATCGTGAAAACACTGTTCACTTAAACCCAGACCGTTTTCCGCTTCTGCGGTTATCATGCCGCACCTGCGGTCACCGCATATGCGACCAAACGATCGCTTCTGCGATCTCACTTAAATTTCTCCGGACCGCTTATGCGGTCTAAAACCGCTGCTGCGGTCGCCGCATTTGCGGATCCACGTCCGCTTCTGCGGAAATTGCCAAGCCCTCAAGGACCGCTTCTGCGGAACCGCTTCTGCGGTCCATTTCCGCAGAAGCGGAAATACCAGATGACAGCAGCAACAGACCTGCAACACACCTCAAAACCTCTCGTTCAACCACCCGAATTCACCCCGAGGCCCTCGGGACCTCAACCAAAAATACCAATACATCCTAAAACTTCATTCAAACTTGTTCTCATCCGTAAAACACATCAAACAACGCTAAAACCATCAAATCACATCGAATTCAAGCCTAAGTTTCTTAAAAACTTCCGAATTACGCATTCGATAAAAAACCCAACCAAACGACGTCCAAATGACCTGAAATTTTACCCGCACATCCAAAATCACCTAGCGAAGCTACTGCAACTCTCGAAATTCCATTTCGACCCCGGATCAAAATCCCACCTACCAATCGGAATTCGCCAAAATTCAACCTTCGCCAATTCAAGCCTAATTCTACACCGGACCTCCAAATTCAATTCCGATCGCACTCCTAAGTCACAAATCACCTCCCGAAGCTAACCGAATCACCGGAATTCACATCCGAGCCTTCTAACTAATAAGTCAACGTTCGGTTGACTTTTCCAAACCAAACCTTCCTTAAAGAGACTAAGTATCTCATTTCCTACCCCAAACCAATTCAATTCAACTCTAACTCACCCGTTGCTGATAATAAAATATGAAAGAGCAATAAATGGGGAAAACGGGCTGTAATACATGAGATGACGGGTTGGGTCGTCACAATTTTCAAAACCTTCAGCACTTGGCAGCTGAAGTTTTTTGTTGGATTCAATAATTTTTGTCCTAAAGCTTTTTCGAAAAACTTCGGCCAATGTGCTGAAGTTTTTTTGTATATTTTCAAAAACTTCAGCACTTGGCAGCTGAAGTTTTTTGTTGGATTCAATAGTTTTTGTCCTAAAGGTTTTTCGAAAAACTTCGGCCCAATAGGCTGAAGTTTTTTAGTATATTTTCAAAAACTTCAGCACTTGGGAGCTGAAGTTTCTTAGTATATTTCAAAACTTAAGCAAAAAATACTTGACATTCATGAAAAAAGACATAAACATATTTGAATCAATCAAAGTCACATAATTCACACAAAATAATGTATATTCACAAAATACAATTTTCTTTTCACTTACATCCTTGGAAAAAAAGAAAAACTTAGTTCTTTGTTTACAAGTTATTCTCTATTCAAAAAGTTCACAGAGTGTCTTCATATTCTCCATAGTAATGTCATAGTTGCTCTTCTTGGTTTTTTTCACCACATTACATGAAACTTCACTATGTCTTCCACCAAAGAGTTTTCTTGGTTTTTTAGCAACTACCATCTACTTTCATAAGAAAAAAACAAGAAAATGTTGGCCAAGACATGCTTACTGGTGTGCATCTGGGAATTCGTGGGAAGCAAAGATAGTGAAGGAGAAGTCCAAAGTACTTCATATGTGACGGAGACTGGCCACATCAAAAACTCGAGCACCAGAAAATTTGCTCATTTTCCTAAAAGAGCAAATTTTCCTGGTGCTCGAGCATT